TTAAGAGATATTCCTTTTCTGTCCAACATTTCTTCATTTTCGAATTATCTAAGAAAGGTTAAACAAAAAAAAAAGAAAAAAACTAATTTTTATTCCCCCTCTTCTTTAAAATCTCTCCCCATTCAGATCTTGATCCTTATATCTGATCCTTTACAATGATTAAAATTATATAACAATTAAAATTAATTAATTAATTAATTGATTGATATATTAAATTTTTTAATTAATTTAATATTTATTTAATTTTTAAATTAATTTACTTTTTTATTTAATTTTTGATTTGATTGATAGATTTATTTATTTATTTTATTTTTGAATTAATCTACTTTCTTATTTAATTTTTGAATTTATTTACTTTCTATTGAATTTTTGATTGATTTATTTATTTACTTGTTAGATCAAAAATGTGTGGATTTTAGATTACTATTAAAGAATAATATTATACATTATCAATGTTGAGGGTTAACCATAAACGTCACGAGAAAGAAAGTTGAACAAGATCGTGATAATGAAATTTCGTTGAAAGAAATCATATCACGTAAAATTAAAACAATTTTCGCATTAAGTATATACGAGTATATTATAATAATAATTCTCAAAGTTCTCAATGTGACGTGTAGAAATGTCACAATAGAGAAGACAGTAGTAGTATTACGTTTGAACGAAGAAAGTGACAGAAGAAGGGACTTTCTCTAAACGTTCTATATTTCAATTTTACGATTGGCACAGTTGTTATTATCTACCTTTTCTCACCTAATGTCATTAAGATTGTTAACGTCAATCAGTAGAACGATCAATTTAATTTACTCACATTTAAATCGATAATAATTAAATAATATTAATTTTAATTTTCATTCAAATTTTTTTCGAAACGTTTAACATTTAATAAGAACAATTTAGTAAAATGCAATATCGAGTAAAAGAAAAAAAAATGAGAGAAAATAAATAAAAAAAAAATAAATTACGAAAAATAATATATTAAGTCTGAATAACGTAAAAGAAAAAACACAAATTATTAATTACATACGAACGATAATTAATTAAAGGGAAAGAGAGAAAGAGAAAAAGAAGTATGTGTGTGACGAGAGAAAATAATTAAATGGAAAATTAAGTGAAAGTAAATTCGAATCGATGTATGTAACGGAAGTTAAATAAATAAAAAAAAAAAAAAAGAAACCAATAAAAAAACGAAACGATATTAATAGAGATAAATTCATTTTCTGTTTCTTTTTCTTTGAAGTAATAAAAGTAATAAATTTAACATTGATCGTATGACGAAGTAGTAACATTTGTTAAACAGGAAACTTAATTGTTTCCTACTATTTCTGATTTTTATTGAAAAATAATATAATTATTAATTATTGCATTTTATAATTGAATAATTATTAAAAATAAGACACCAATACTATATAGGGGATTTGAAGATTCATTTATTCGTTCGTCTTTAAAAATTTTCTACATTTTTATAAAAAATGTATAAAAGTAAAAAAAAAAAAACACAAAAAATCTAAATTATTAGCGATAATTATTTAAAACAAAATTATTTTGATATTTGAACGTTATTGGAGGAAAATGAATTAAATAAAAAAAAAAAATCATCAAAGAAAAAACTTTTACGTTTTGCTTTACAAATTATCCAAAAGTGTATGGAATTTAGAAAAAAATGCGCTTATATTTTTGGATTTAACGAACGAACGTTTCGAGAAAATAATTTAGTTGATTTAAAGATTTAAAAATATGGAAAAAAGGAAAAAGGCAGATAAAGAAAGTTAGAGAGAGATAGAGAGAGAGAGAGAGAAAGACATATACAGACATGCATATACAAGCAGAATAAGAGTGTGTGTGTAAGAAAGAGAAAAAATAAAATACATGCACGTAGTACTGAATAAAAGAAAAAGAAATAACACAGACACATACATATGTACACATTTAGAATTATCGTGATCGAGTGAGAAGATGAAAAAATGTTTATATATACATATATGTGTGTATATTTTGAAATGGGTTAAAAGAATGAACTCTCTTGCCAGTTAACTGTTCCGAAAAGATCATTTTTAATGTAAAAAAAAAAGTCTGTGACATATTTTCTCTCTTGAGTTAACTCAAAATACGTGGACTTATCTCGTTTGTGATCATTTTCTTTCTTATTTCTTTACGTATACGACATACTACGAATAATCTAGAAAAATAAAAAGATATATATATATAAAGAGATATTATTTCCCACGAGTTCTCTCATATCATATCTGTCTCGTTTATGATCAATTTAATTAACTCGTATATATCGTGTGTACGAGAAAAGTATTAAACACATATATGTTACACTGTTACAGGAATTTAGTATGTTTCATTTGGTTAGGATCACTATTTTATCTTGTCATTTCATTCAATGATTTTATTATTTTTAATTTGTAAAAAAAAGTAGACCATTTTTTTGGTTATTATTATGTATGATATAATTAGGCTATTTTCTTTTGGAAGGGAGAAGGGAGAAGGAAGGAACGGGTCTTTTAATTTTTGTATTTATATTTATTTAATTTTTTGTATTTATATTATTTTGTTTTATTTTATTTATTTATTTATTTTTTTTCATTTATTGATATTAATTACGGATTCAGATTTCAATTATTCTGTCTTTTTTTATATAGTTTTATAAGATTTGTATTATTAATTACAGATATTATTATGAATATATATCGTATTTTTTTGTTATAAAAAAATTAGCAGGAATAAATGGTTAAGTAATAACACATACATGTGAAAATAAAGTTAAAAAACGAATGATATTTTTTAATATGTAAATATATTAAAAATTATTTAATATATTATTAATATTATTTATTATATTTATATACCATATTATTATTAATTAATATATTATATTATTTATTAATATAATAATACTATATATATATATATATATATATATAATAAGTACTCTATATTATTTATTAAATATATTAAATATTATTTAATATATTATTTTTTTATATTATTATTTAATATATTTTATTTATTAATTAATATATTATTAATTATTTATTATTATTTATATACATATTAGTAAATAATAAATATAATAAAATTATTTATGAAAATAATATCTTGTTCCCTCTACATACACAAACAAATGTGATTGATTGAGAATGAACAAAGTTAGAAAATATAGATGTATAGATTAATTACTAATAAAAAAAGGATGAAAGGAAGGAAGAAAGGAGAAAAATGAGAAGAGAAAACAGAATGGCTGCGGTCGAAATTAAATAAAAGGAAAGCTGAAATAATAAGGTACGTCAGTGTTTGAAGGAAAACGATGAAAACGATGATGTACGTCGTTGTTGTTTATGTCAATGGCTTCTTTATTGATTATAAAGAAAATAAATTAAAGAAGAAAATATAAAAACAAAATGAAGAATTGCATTAAAATAAGTACAATAAAAAATAAATATTATTTCGTATTACGCGTATTAATTAGTTTTATTTCATTTTATTTTCTTTTTTCTTCATTTGCATTCAATGATAACGATGAAAACAAAATAAACATCGTTAAACAAAATAAAAATACAGATAAACGAACGTACGTCGTTTATATACGCTTTATTTTTTTTTTTTTATTTTATTTAACAGATCGAACACGTAGTGACGAATGGTTTATGCAAATGTTTCTTATAAACGTTCGAACAAATTTTTAGCATAGTTTAAAAAGAAGTAACACTCGATAAACGCGTGGAGTATTATAAAATAAATATTATAAAATTACTTTTGATATAAAATTTCTTTCCAATAAAATCATTAACAAATAAATTTCTAACTGTTCGTTCCTAAAAAAAAAAAATTGATTCCAAATAAGAATACAAAATTATACAATAATACGATATTAATAAAAATTAAATAATAAAATAATAACAAATTATTTATACTCCTATATCGTTTCTTTTCCTCACCAAATTATAATTAATATTAAAAAAGATATATTATAACAAATATATATTTATTTCTATGATATTTGTGTGTTTGATCATTTTAAAATATTGAAAAAATTATTCCAAACAATTTCGAATATTCCTTTTTGAATGATCATCGAATTTTCAAGAATTATTCTGATATGATAAAAAAAAAAAAAGGGAAAAAGATAGAATCCTACGTGAGGCCAAGTCAAAAGTATAATAATAAACATGAGTATGAAACAATGCAAGGAAAATATGTGGGAGGGAGGGAGGAGGAGGTGAATAAGGAAGAGAAGGATGATAAAACGAATAAAAAGAGAGAAAGAGAAAGAGACAAGAGTAAGGAAGAGGAAGAAAATGTGGGTATCGTTGCCATAATAGTAGTAGTAGTAATAGTAATAGTAATAGTAATAGTAATAGTAGTAGTAGTAGTAGGCTCAGGACGAAAGATAAAAAGAAAAAGATAGAGGAAGCGAAAAATAAAAACAGACAAATAAAAACAGACAAAGAGAAAAAGATAAAGAGAGAGATGAAAATAGTGAAGTAACGAGAGAAATAAAATAAGAAATAAAATAAGAAAGAAAGAGAAAGAGAGAAAGAAACAGAGTAGATGGGAAGAGTGGTGAACGCGCTGTAGTCTGACAAGAAACGTATGAGTAAGTGAAAGACAAAGATAGAGACAGTTGTTAGATAGAAAGAGAAAGAGAAATAAGAGAGAGAAAATGGTCGACTATTTCATTACCTTCGCTTCAATCCTTGGCCGCAGTGCAAAGAGAACCGGCGAGTACGACGCGCGTGTTCTCCTGTCGTCTCGTTCGTGTCTATCGTAAGGATCGAAGAAAAACAAAAAAAGAAAAAAAAAGAAAAAAGGAGGAAACGTAAACCGTATAGGCGGAAAATTCATTTATCCTAACCTAAAAAAAAAAAAAATCGCGGTACGACGCGTCGTTGCGCCCTTTTTTTCCCTCCAAAAAAACTAAAGAGCCGGGATATTTTTATTTCTTTTTTCTTTTTTTTTGGAAAATTTTAAATCTTCCTTGTTTTTTTTTTTTTTTAATTTTAAATTATTATCGATATCGTTGTTTCTTTTCTTTTTTTTTTTTTACATTGAGAATTGAGCCAAATCAATATGGAGTCAAATTAGAGTCAAATTAGAGTCAAATTAGAGTCAAATTAATTTGTAATAAAAAATCTAAGAAAGAGGGGGGTTAAAAAAAAGATAAAATTAGATAGATAAATATAGATTGAATAAAATTTAAATTTGCGTGTTCGCGTATCGATCGATTGATTATTATATGTTTGTATATATCGATATATCAAATTGAGTGTATCGATTGTAATCCTATGATCCTGTACGTGTATTATAAGAAAGGATCTAAGAGAACGAGTGAACCAGTTTTCACGATCGACCGCAGACGACCGCAAGCTTAGAAGACCTGAGATAAATCCACCTGGATCGTGTTTGCATCTCCAATCTATGATCTTACATAGATCACCTTCTTGACACCGACTATTTTTTTTTTCTTTTTGCTTTTCTTTTTTAACTTTTTTGTCTTCGTCGTTGTTGCTACTTTCGTCTACGTCTAAAAGTAAGTTTTGAAATTATTCTTGCTTCTTTTTGTCGTTGACTTTTTTTTTTCTTTTCTTTTTTATTTTTTAAGGGATGATGGAGTTTGCCTCATTTTTTTGAGGGAGGATTTGTTTCTGCAAGGAAAGATATTTTTCCAACAAAATTATATTTTCACTTTTATAAATCATTCCTTTTTGTATTTTTCCATTCGTAGGATTGTTAATCATGTAATTATTGTACGATAATAATCGTAATTTTATCGTTATTCGTTAAATTGTTTAATAATTTTTCTTCTTTTTTTATTTCAATAGAAATATAAAAAAAAAATTATTCAAGCATTAATTTTCTTTTTTATATAAAAAATAATATATAAACTGTTATAATGATTATTTTGTTTGTACCTATGTGAATATATTTAATAATATTACTACAATAATTTTAGTAAAACAAAAAGTTTAAAAAGAAATATTTCAAAAGACGTCAAACGATTTGAGGAAAATAATGTTTTTGTTAAATAATTGTTACGAATATAACGCGATCATAGATTAAAAGAAAATTAAGCAATAATTCAGTAAAAACAAATTAAACAAAAATAATGAAGTCGTTAGCAAACAAGATATATACAACCAGTTGTAATATTTTTCACACACATATAAACACACACACACACATATTAGAAAAATAATCGTTAGCCCAGATATTTAGTCTTCACGCTTTTTTATTACGAAGACAAAGCGAATTTCGCGCCGAGACGTAGGAAGTCGTTAAGGGAATGTGCGCACGCGTTATTATAATTATTATACTAATTATTAATATAGTTAATAATTTTTTACAACAAAACCTAACACCTATTTGAATTTTAATAATTTTTTGTTTAAATCAACATATGTCACACAGTGTTATCAATATTACTTATCAATTTTATTATTATTTATATATAATTATTATAATTATTAATATAATAATAATAATAATAATACATAATTATTATAATAATATAAATAATAATATTAATGTTATTATATATAAATAATAATTATATTATTAAAAATTATTATTATTATTATTATTATTATTATTATTTATTTATTTATAATAATAACAATATTAAATATAAATAATATAAATAATTTTAATATAATAATTATAACAATAATAATTATTAATTATACAATAATGATAATAATAATTATTATTATTATTATATTAACTTTTCAACATAATATCTTTACATGGTTAAATGTTAATAATTTATTTCGTTTATAAAGCATCTACATTTATGAAAATAAATCCGAAATTAAATTTAATCAAACTTACGCGAATAATAATCATAGTAATCGATTTTATGTACTATATCTTCCATTTAATTATTATTATTATTTTTCAAATACCCGTTTAAATTTCGTTATCATTTCATAGAAAACATTAATCGAACTAGTATCTGAAAATTTGTATAATCAATCAATCGTATGTACAAACAAATATACGTATTATACATCATACTAATCATAGAATCATTCATCAGTCGAATTATTTTCAAATCGTCGTTCGACCTCGTCTACTAACAAACGGTAGTTTTTTTTAATTTTATTTTTTTGTTTAATTAACGTTAGTGTCCGTAACGCGCTATTAATTTTCACTGATGGCTATTACTAAGCAAAGTAATGTAGTATAATATTGACGTATATAAAAAAAACAGAAGAGTGGGGAAGGGGAAGGGGTGAGAAGAAAAGAAAGAAAAGGAAGCCAACATATAATTTTCCTTCGAACGATTCACTCGGTATACCTATATATATATATATATATATATCCATAAAGTTACGTTACCGTATCATGCACATACGAAATTATGTTACTTCAAACAAACATACACACACACACACACAAACATGATCATGTAAATTTGCTGCGATTGCGTCATGAGGTATAATATACACGTTGGTATATAATTCGGTGCAAAATTAGTTCTTTAGATACTTGTCGAACGTGTTTACATTCACATATAGATGTATATGTATAATGCACGTGTATGTATGTATAAGCAAATAGACAAACATACGCATATACATATATAGAATTTAAAAAGCATTTCGAGCATCGAAAATTAGTTGTCTAACTTTTCCAAGAGATGACATAAGTTCAATATACATGTGTATGTTTGTTTATATATATACACACACCAATATTTCGTATGTTTGTGATACATAATGTGTGATGGTAGTAGGTATGAAACACACATACGTATAATGGAATAATACTATCGTTATTAACCAGAGATTTCGCTCGTTTATACATACGATCGTTCTGGTTTCGTTCGTGCGAGAGAGAACGTGAAATTATGAACTACTTTTTCGTGGGAAAACTAGGACGAGAAGAAAATCTTTCACTTCTATGTAAGATAATCACAGCCGAAAACTTATTGTTAGTATTTACTCACGTCACAGTGAGTATATTTAAGATGATTAAATTCAATCGTTAATAGTAGTAGTATTTGTAGTAGTTGAAGTTGTAGTAGAGTAGTATTGTTCTACCTTTTTTTTCCTTTTTTTTTTATTTTATCCTATTTTCTAGATATTCGATATCACACGGATTTCAATGAAAATCAAAACGCAGCGTATTCTAAAATTCCAGCGTATTTCTAATTAATCTCTATTCGAATTAGCATATTTAATAATTATAACAATTATTATTTTTATTATTAGTTATATATATATTTTGTATTTAGTTTAGTAAATATTAATACATTAATTATACTATCTTTTTTTTTTTTAATATGTGAATGCAAATTTATTAGGATCAATGATAGTAACGTTTGATTTGTTTTCTTGCTAAATTAAATTCGTATATTAATAAATTACTATTATTATTATTAATTATCTATATATATGTTTTCGTTTTTGGTTTAATTAATATTAATACGTTGATTGTACTAAATTTTGTTTTTTTATACACAAATAAAAATTTATTAAGATCAATGGTTTTCTTGCTAAATTAAATCTTAAAAATTGATAAATTGATTGCGCTAAAAAATTTATTTTATTTTTATAAAATCGGTACGAGAATAATATTTAATTTTTGTATTTTTGTATTTTTTTTTTTTTAACATTTTTCATGCTATTAGAACATTGTGATTAAACTTTAATTTCATAATAATTGACACACGTAAATGTATTCACCTGAATTACTCTTTTCCTTTTTTATTTTTTTTTTATATGTATATGTAGAAGGTCATTAAAATTTTTATTACACGTTAATGTAAGACTGTATTACGAAATAGTGTTTATGACAAACATCATACAATTGACACGGTTGTCCTTTAACTCGGTTGTTGGTTATCATCGTGAAGATAATAAAATAAATGAACGTTGTTCGTAAAGAAATAAAAATAAAAAAAAAAGAGGAAAAAATTCTCAAAATAATAGAGTGTGATAGAGAGGGGTGAATGGATTGAGATGGGGGGGGGGAGGCAAGTGGGGGAATATAAAAACAGAAGTTTTTACGACGTTCTATGGATAAAACTTGGAAAATTTAATCTCTACGAGAGTTTAGAATCGCACGAATGAAATAACATTCGATTGTATAAAACGACCGTGAGAATTCTTCATCCGCATTGGAACCGTGAAATTTTCTTGCGCTATAACGTGACAAGACCATACCCTCATCGAAAGTGGGTCTTCGTAATTTTATACTCCATTTACGTTAAATAGAAAACTAAGAACATTTTTTACTAACCATAAGAATATTATTTTATCTAAATCGTTCGAAAAATTTAAATAAATTCGATGATCAATTCTTTTTTTTTTCTATTTTAAATCATTTAAAAACGATGATACAATAATTTTGTCATTATTTATTTCGTTTAGTATTATTTTTTGTATTTTACCATTTTTCGAAACTTTTTTTATTTCATTAATAATATATTAATTTCTAAAATTATTTTAATTTAATTTACGATTAAAAAAAAAAAAATATTCGAATAAAAAATTTTATAATTATTATCCTTATTAATATGTTTTCATTTCTCGAATAAAATTTTTCATTTAAAAAAAAATATTGGGTTGTTCGGAAGGTAATTTCGTTTTTTTTCTGGCACAATTTTGGCATTAGTTAAATGCTAATTGGCAAATAAAAACACGTGATATTAGTGAGAGGTTAAATTTATCAAATTCAACTGTTTATGTCCACTTGAAAGGCCCTAGGTTTAAACTTTAAAATGAAAATTATCTTCATTTTTACAAAAGAAAAATAAAATTACTTTCCAAACAACCCAATAAATTTATTACATTATTTTTTTTTTTTTTAAATACAATTATAAAGTTTTATTTATTGAAACTCGAACGTATTATCGCGAATATAAAAATAAAATATTTGTAATCGCATAGGTTCAACGATCTTAAAGTTATCTTATCGACAAATACGATACAATTTTCCGTATTGCCATAATAAACATATTACGTAAGAAATATATTGATGTGCAGATGAACGATTCGTTAGAGTTAGGAAGGAAATCGTGACGTTGCGTAATCGTTATATACATTTTGATGTATTTCTAAGAAGGCTTTAAAGTATGCATTGGAATGTTAACATAACGCTCTGTATGTTAGTACTCTACTTAATAGTCCTTGCTTCGTAAATCCTTTCGCATGATTACCTTGCATTCTCTCTTTTATATTTCATCCTATCCATTTATCATTATTATTATTATTAATATTATACACTTTTTTTTTTAAATTAATTTTATTCTTATATTACTCTAACAAGTAATATAAGCATTTATTTAATTATTAAATTATTATTAATAATCATCATTATTTATTTACTATATAATTATTATTATTATTATTATTGTTAATCCCTAGTAGCACAAAATATTGAAAAATATTGTATACATGTGTATTTAATATTAAAAAGACATTAAATCTCTTTGTAATATTAATTACACATGTATACAATATTTTTCAATATTTTGTGCCACTAGGATTTATTTTTATTTTGCAATCTATAACCATGAACTTTTTG